GTTGCCTTAATTTTATCCCTACTAGAGCAAATAGAATATGTAGAGAAAAGACTAAAAGAATCTATCATATGATCTGTTGCTCCAGAATCTATTATCCAAGGAGTATATGAGGTCGAAGCAGTAGACACACTAACATATATACCTGTATGAGCAAAGTTGAAGAAGAGGTAGGATTAGTAGATGTAGTAGAAGAAACATCAAGTCGAGCCATCAAACACCGCAGAGTTTACATCATATCTCGAGTGAAATTACTAGAAGTTACACTCCCTTCCGACATGTCCACACCAATAAGGTCTAACAATCACAAACCAACAAAATAGCCAATCGTTCCAATAGTTGTCAAAAATACACAAAACTAGTAGCCAAATACTGTCCAATTAATATGCCGGAACTTGAGAAAAAAAGGCCTCGAAAGTGGCTAAACAAATTTCTGGACAACAATAGAAGCAGAATATGAGGTAGCTGATGTAGAATAAAAAAGGGCGCAACAGTGATGCCGAGCCTCAAAAAGGGCAAAAAATGTCACAAATCTAATCCAAATGCAACAAATCTCTCTAAGTAAGTTAGATTACCTCTAGTCACACCTCATAGAGTAGGATTGAGCAAAAAAGCAATTTGGAGCAAAGGGGCACTAGACAACCAAAAAACCCAATGCCGACAGCAAGAAATTTCCCAAAAATATCACAAATCCAAACCTAAATGCAACAAAGGGAACTGGGCATCATTGATAAGTCCATATTGCACCCCATCAAACAGGTTTGACTCAAATATAGCTCCCTAAAAACTTTGAATCTACAAATCTGAGAAGAAAAATACTACCAAAGAAGTAGCCCACAACCAAAAAATACTCCAATAGCAACCAAAGAGTATCAGTGGAACCAGTGTTATTTAAGGCGTTAAGCGAACCGAAGCGACCAAGGCTCTTAACGCCTAGGCGAGAGGCGAGAAGCGAGAAGCGAAGCGAAACGATTTACCAAAGCGAAGCGAGCAGTTAAAAAAATAAATAAATATTTTAGTGTAATTACTTTTACACATCAAAGTTTTAATTTTATATATACTAAATATTTAAATACAAGTAAAACCATAAACATTTAAAGTAAAACCATAAAAATTTAAATTAAAATAAACACTAATAATATTGCAAATCTTAATAACAGTCATAGTTTAAACATTTAAATTCATACAAATACTAATAATATCCCAAATCCTAATATTTAAAAACATAAGACACATAATTCAAGCAACTAAAGAAAATATCTCAAGGACTTAGAAATCAATCCTCATCACTAAAGAAATCATCTTCTTCATTATCCTTAGATTCATATCCCTCAGTATCCTCCTCCTCTGCCTCATCTGAAATTATGTCTTCCTCATCTGTGAGTCCAGTCGTCGATCTTGTAAACCTTGGTGTTACCCTAGTAGATGGTATTGATCTAGTCCGTTGGCTACTTTCCGTAACTGCAGAAGCTCGAGCGACTTCGCCCCAAGTCAAAGTATCATCACCAAACACAAGCTCATTATCTTCATCTGTGTCTGCATCCATTCTCCCAATCAACCACTCATTGCTATCATCAATATCCTTCAAAGATATTGGATCAATTGTGTCACGAGAATCATATCGGCGCCTCAAAGCTCTATTATACTTAACAAACACCAAATCATTGAGACGGGATTGAGCTAGTCTATTTCTTTTTTTGGTGTGTATCTGCAATAATTTATTAACAATACATTAAAATTTATAATAAGATTAAAAAAAAATGTAATTGAAGAGGTTTGAGGATGATACTTACATGCTCAAACACACTCCAATTTCGCTCACAACCGGATGCACTACAAGTAAGGTTTAAAACTTTTTTTGCAAAGGTTTGCAAATTTGGAGTTGCAGACCCATATGCACTCCACCAATCAGCTGTGAATAATGAATAACAATTAATTAACTAACATATTTAAGCAATGATAATGAAATAAGCTTGTGGGATAACATAGATTACCTGGTGCCCTAGTTGTTCTTTGTCTAACCGCCATGGGCAACTTAAAGAGGTTTTCACCTTTCATGTAAATACTCAACTCTTGACCAATTTTATCTTGTATCGCAGGATTTGAGACCAACTTTTCCAAACATTTATATAGGCCATTCATGACTTCTTGATCTTTCTCAACATCTGGATTGGAATAGAAAAACTCTGGGTTCAAAAAATACCCAGCTGCATGCAAAGGCCGATGCAATTGAACTTCCCACCTTCGGTCAATGATTTCAAATATGTGTTTGTACTTCTCTTCATTGCCATTAAAAGAATTAGCAATCGCTTCTTTAGCCCGGTCCATAGCTTCATAAATGTACCCCATGGGAGGCTTTTTCTCACCATCAACCAATCGAAGCACACGGACAAGAGGGCCAGTAAGCTTAAGAGAGTAGACAACATTACTCCAAAATGAAGGCATTAAAATGATTTGTGCTGTCCTTTTGCCTTGTTGTTCTTTTGCCCATTTGCTTGTAGTCCATTCCTCTGAAGTGAACATTTTTCTCAAGTTACCTTTTTGTTGGTTGATCCTTGTTAGCGTAAGAAAAGCCGTAGCAAATCTAGTTTTTGCAGGCTTAATCAACTCCCTTGACTGGGTAAATCGTCTCATCATATTCAACAGAGTTGGACGGTTATAAATATAACCGTGTAATGCTATTCCTCTTTCAAATGTTCTCTTGAAGTTTGGCAATTTGAAGATATCTTCCAATACCAAGTCCAAGCAGTGGGCAGCACATGGCGTCCAATATAGATTTGGTCGTTTTGCCTCCAAAAACTTACCTATTAAATAAAGATTTTTTTAGCAACTAGTGTGCATAAAAAAAATTCAATATAACAAGTAGTTATCTTTTTTTTTTTTTTCAAGAAGCTCATACCTGCTAACACATTTGCTGCCGCATTATCAGTGACAATTTGAATCACATTAGCTTCACCAATACGCTCTACAAAATTATCAAGCAATTCAAACATTTTTTGCCCATCCTTTGAGTATGCAGAAGCATCAACAGATTCAAAGAACATGGTCCCTTTTGGACAATTCACTAAGAAATTAATCAAGGTTCTCCCTCTCTTGTCAGTCCATCCATCGGCCATTATGGAACATCCATATTTTGCCCAATCCTCTTGGTGATCTTTCATCAATGACTTTATATGCCCTACTTCTTTGTTGAGCAATGGGACCCGAACCTCATGGTAAGAAGGGGGTTTCAAACCAGGACCATATTGTCCAAAAGTTTCAACCATTGCTGCAAAACTTTCATAGTTCACAACATTAAAGGGAATTCCCGTGTCATACATCCATCGGGCAAATGTTGTGATGGCTCTTTCTCTCATTTCCTTTCTAAAAGGATCGCTGGCATCAATATTCGTTTGTCTCCCCTTGGTCTTTCGATTTTGCACCACAACAGTCGGATCAGGGGTGAAGTATACATCCATAGGCCCTTTTTGTCTTGGTTTTTTTGGTCTCGATGTGGCTTGTGTAGAACCTTGACTAGAACTAGTCATGGATCTTTTACGATTCGCAACAATCTCTACAATATCATCTTCATCCTCCTCCAAGTCATTAGGCATCTCATCAAAGTCGGAAACCATGTTCATTAGATTCTTCTCTTCCTTTTTTTTAGCCATGTATTCTCTAATCTCCTCCCTAACATGAGCAGGGCATTTTGGACAAGTAATAACACTCGTAGAGTTCCCTGCTAGGTGTTGCTTGACCCGATAGACACCTCCATTTGACTCTTTTCCACAAAAATTGCATTTGAACTTGTTTGTGTTTTGAGGATTTACCAAGTGTGCATATTTCCATGCCGGATCTTTTTTGTTCCCTTCGGACGACGATGCCATTTATGAATAACACTATCACACTACAATCAAAGGAACAAAACACATTCACATGTACTGAATCACATTTTATATCAGTTGTAAACAATTTTATATTGACAGGACAGGACAACAAAAGAAGCAGAATCAAGACAGCAGTAGAATGCAACAACAAAAAAAAAACAGACGACTGAGGAAAAAAAAAATTGAAGCAGCACAGGAGCAATTTCATATTGACTGGACAGAAGCAGAATGCATTAAGTCTTACATTTTCATTTGTTTGTATAATTCTTATGCAGTCTCCGACCATATTATTACCAATAAGATGCATGATTTGTTTGTTAAGTCACAAGAGGCCTTTAAAATCTTGCCATAAATGAGAGCAAAGATTGGTTATACAAAGACATCAATTAGCATGTTGTAGTGCTGGAAGTTCACATATATCTGTGTGAATAATATTTCAAGCAATGCATGGTGACTATCTCATTATTGAAGAGACAGGAAGACTACGACCGAATATTACAACTTTTTATGATTAAGTTATAATTTTTTGGGTGTAAATTACGACTGTAAAAGACATAATCGATGTCAAAATATTATGATCAATCACAAAAGTTACGTCTTTTAGAAGTATTAATGACCGATCACAACATTTCATGATCGATCGTGATTAACTCCATTCAGTTGCAACTTCACTTTTAAAAGTTATAATTTGACCTATGAAAATAACTTCTGATTTAAAAAAAAATTCTAGTGCCACAGAGCTATCCATTGAAGAGAGGTGTTACCAACCAAATAGCTGCATTACAATAAGTCTTGTTTATCTAGCAACAATAACAAAATTAGGTACATATCGGTATGTAACATACGGACAACTACGAATAATAGCATTCCAGCAACTCCTTAGAATGGAGTTTCGACAGCAACATAAGGAAAAAGCAAAAAAAAAAAAAAAAAACAGACGCATAATGAAAAAAAAAAAAGAAGCACAATCGGAGCAAAATAGGGTAGAATCAGAGCAGGATGGGGTAGAATCAGATCAAGAAAAAAAAAAAAAAAAAAAAAAAAACCAGAATCGGTGAAGGAGCATAAGACAGAAGAAAAAAAAATTGAAGAGAGAAGAAGAAGAGACTAACCTCCACAGACCAGCCCTCCAAACCCTCAGTCCAGCAACAACAATGGTGTACAAGTAGCGAAAACTCGAAGCCTTGGAGTGTAGCACTGGAGAACAGTACCGATCGTGTAGCAGTGGAGAGCAGCAGTGGAGAGCAGCACCAAATCCGTCGTGTAGCAGTGGAGAGGAGCACCGATCGATCGTGTAGCAGTGGAGAGCAGCACTGATCGAAGCAGCAGCGATTGAAGCAGGGGAGAGCAGCACCGATCGATCGTGTAGCAGGCAGCACCGATCGATCGTGTAGCAGGCAGCACCGATTGAAGCAGGGGAGAGCAGCACCGATCGATCGTGTAGCAGGCGGCACCGATCGATCGTGTAGCAGGCAGCACCGATTGAAGGTATCTGTAAAAAAATAACAAAATTAGGTTAGGAGTTTTATTTATAGGATAAGGGAATAATTCGGTACATTAACATCTTAAAATTTTTTTTGCAATCGCCCAATCCTACGGTCTAAATTAAAAATTCGCCTCACATAACAAAAGCGATCGCTTCTTCGCTTTTTTCGCTTCTTCGCTTTTTCGCTTTTCCTCGCTTTTTTCTCGCCTCGCGCAGGTTCGCTTCGCCTGGGTTCCTCCAGGCGAGCAAGTCTCGCCTCGCCTCGCTTCTCGCCTAGGCGCGCTTTTCATAACACTGAGTGGAACAACTTGAAGCAAAAGCAAACCCAAAGAGCCTCTGTGAAGTAATCGAAGCAAACCAAGTCCTTGAAGCACCAATATGGTGGCGAGAATTTGTAAGGGCAAACAATCCACCTAAAAGCATTCTAGCTACAATAAGGGATGATGGGCACAACACAAGAGCCGTAGTTGAGCCTATTTGAACAAATTCAACTCAAAAAAAAGCCAAATTGTTGAAAAAAAACATCCTCGATTTGGAAATCAAGCCAAAAAACCAAACTTCTTCAGAAAATAAAAAAAAGGTCAAATACCTTCAAAAAAATCTAGAAAAAATAGTCATCATACTCAAAAAAATATAGTCAAAGAATCCCTATTGAAATCAAAAAATTATGGCATAGGTTGATGTTGATGTCACTAGGTTAGATGCTGACGTCTACATGTCTGTGTCTGACAGGCGTCAATATTTGTTGTGGGAGACAATTTCTAATGAATTCCAACAACTCTGATGTGTTAGATTTAATCGTTGCTCTGATATGGAAAAGAATAGTGTATTAGGTTACACAACTACAATTAGCTTTTCATATATAATCACAAAGTACAAAGTTACCTTTAGTCTAGAAATACTACATAACGTAACACTAATGATTGGGAAGATGGGACAAAGACTGGGTGGGTGGAAGCAGAAGACTTTGATTTAAAGGGGGAGGCTAATGTTGGTGCAGTTGATAATATCTAGCATCCCAGTGTATCACTTGTCTCTTTTTAAATTTCTTTCAAAGATAACAAAAAAATTGAAAGATTAATGTGAGAATTTTTATGAGACAGTTTTTAGGAAAGAAGCAAGGATCATTTGGTAAATGCATGGTTTAAGGTCACTGTATCGGTCATCAACTCGAAGAGTTTCGAGACACATCGGTTGCAATGTCGCGGTACTATATCGATTGATACGACCTAAAAGAAAATGTTAAACTTGACGAGAGATTCAGGTCATATCATGATGTCGCGGAACCATATCGGTAGATTCGGTGACGATATTTCGACTACTCGGATACAACTCAGATAACTAAACCGAGTTGTGCGAGATTCAGAGTTTATAGTATCGTGTAACAGTATTATCTTAGAAGGTGCCGAGTCGGATACGATTTGGCTGACTCGTATCGGTATTGACCAATATTTTGAACCATGGTAAAATGGAGCTCTGTTTTTGTTATAAGGTAAAGGGGGGTTGGGGTTGCTCTTTTCCAATATTATTTTGTTGTTTTTAAAATAGGGCTACCGATACGAGACCGATACATGTTATGCAAATAGTATAGAGTCTTCAATGAATTGGTGTTGACTCGTTATGACTCGAGAGTGTCAGTATAAATCAGGCCTTGTCTCATTTGTGTTGGACAATTTATAACGAAATCGAAATGAGATTGTGAAAATCGTTTAGAAAATCTCACAACAAAGAAAAAGCCTAAAAAAGGGCCAAAAAGATAAGTAGAGAAGACCCACAACTATAGAAGAAGATCTAAAATTAGAGAAATTAACATGCCAACTGCGTGATTGTTCAACATTAAATCACCCCTCTTATGCCATTAGATAAATAGAAGGAATTGAGAGAAGTTATGAGACAGACTTTTAAAATAATGGCAGAATCGCCTTGAATACAAGAGCTTCCTTCTTCTTCTTCTTCAAGCACAGGCACACAGTATCGTGACCTTCCTAATTGACCCAGGTCAGGCAGTCAACGATCAAGGATGGCATTGAATGAGACTCGTTGTCGCATATGTTTTCTCTCTCTCTCTTTCATATGAGGATAGACTTGCTCAGTTGTCTCGCCAGCCTTTTATGTATCTTGGTTTTTAGTTTCTTTTAATTTCTATTTTTTCTAATTTTTTGAATGTTTAGTTTAAGTTTTTTTTATTGGTAAGTTCTGTTTTCTATTTTTGGATAGGTAGTCTGTCTTTTTGGTGCTAACTTATTACAATAGATACTTTATGTGGGAAAAATACAACACCTCAAGTTTAGGATCTTTCTACTCGATTGTACACAAGGAATCACACGCTAAACGTAGAGGGGGTGAATTAGTTAATTTAAAATTAAGCTTGGATGACCTCCAATTTTAACCTATATCTAATACAATTACCTCTTCTCACAAAGATATGACAATTTAAGTGAGGACCCTTTTTAAATGAACAACTCCTTAAGAGTGTGAGTGGATAAATGAATATGCAATCAACACCAACTAATCCACAATCTCCGTTTGATCCTAGCCAAAGCCATAATCACCAAAACTACTACTAATGACTTGAAAGATAAACAATCAATTTATCAATACATGGTGTGCGTGTGTGCAATATTGCAAGTGTACATGTAAATTGAAAGCAATAAAGAACACATGTAATTTGTTAACGCCAAAACCTTTCTCGGGAAAAATTGCAGGGAACCTTTTCGTTTCACCTAAGTCTAATCCACTAAACTGAATGTCAATATACAAATACTCGAGTTTTATACGTCAACCAATCCACATGGCTAGATGCTCATTTCCTTCGTAGATCTCTCCGTCAAAGGCCCTCCTTCGACGTTATAGCTAGCTTCACTTGAACTCTCTGCCACACGGTTCGTTTAGGTGTCGAGCACCGAAGACCTTGGTATGCACACTTCTCCAAGTGGATTTTGGTTGACACCAAGTAAGATCTTCTTCTTCAATGTGTCAGGTTGAATGAAGGAATCAAGATGGTTGGCCTTTGGTCTTAGGGATCTAAGGTTGTTCTTGAAGCACTCTAAAAGGATTTTTGGTCTATTCTAGCTCATAGAGGCTTACCCTAGGTTTAAGACAGCCCTATATATATAGGGCATAAAATAGGATTTGTCTTTGGGACCAAGAAAATACAATTTCGTGTCGATTGCTCGAGAAGTGAGAGGGTAGTCATTAAGCGGTGGTTGCTGCTGTAAAAGCTCATTCTAGACCTCCGGTTGGTAGACCAATCTCCTGACCGCTTGAGCAGTGGAAGGGTAGTCGTAGAGCGACTGTAGATTAGTCTCCACTTATTTCTCCAGTTTCATCTCCCTAAGTGTTTCAGAAATCTCTCTAGCGAAGGCTAACAAACATAAAGCGATTCCTACTGGTTTTTAAGTTGAAAACCAAGTAAAAACATGATTTATTGAGTACTAAAGGGTGTTGCTCAAATAGGGTCCAATAAATGATTCAAAACTATCTTTTCAAAACACAATTAAGGTTTAGAAAATATTTTTAATGAAAAAACTTAGGAGTCATTTTTGGATATTATAAATTTCACTTTGTTTACCTTATTCATCCGAAGTCTAAAATTAAACTAAGGGATCTAGGTCTATAAGGTCATAACAATCTCTACCTTTGGCAAATTTGTGACAAAATACATAAGAAATTAAAGATTGCAAATCGAAAACCACTGAGAACAAAACAAATTGCAAACTGGTCTCAACGCTTATGTACAAGCCCTAAATCTCAAAATAAGTACAAGAGATAGTCTTTGAATGTAGCTTTGAATATCATAGTCCTGCGAATCACCATTCAAACCAAAATCTCGTGAAAAACTTCATGTTAGAAATATATAACAGAAATATATAACATAATCATAGATTTGGAAAACACCAAGTTAAGTATAGGGCATAAGTATGTATATATCATGCAAATACAAATATATAACATGTTAGGAACTAACTTTCTCAATATGCTTAAGAAGCTTTTGATCTATCAATATGAAACACTAAGTTTTCCCCCTTACTTAGTGTTCACAAGTAAAATAACAACTTTAACATAAATAAATGTACAATAGGTGATTTCATGCCAAGTTTGTAAATTTACTTCCCTTAAGTATTAGAACAAATTCCCCCCTTCTATTTTCACATGTAACATATTTAGCCTAGTCAAGAGTAAGTCTCCCCCGATTCCTCTCATATGTACTTAAAATATTGTCCTTTTTTGTCACAAATGTTAAACCAATGACAACATTCAACAAACAAGGTTCAAAATCAAATTATCTAGCAAAACATTTTCTTATTTGCTATAAATGGCATCCTAATGACTACATAAACATGCGTGACATGGAATCATAGTGTAACAAAAAGGTATAAAGGCAAATCAACTGGCTAAATTATGCACATAAAGTAAGTAAAGGACAAACAAGGCAAATAACTCAAAATAAAAAATGATAAGAATATCAAGATTAGGACTAAGAGTGTCACAACAAGGAAAATACATAAAACAAAAGTAGCGCACTTAACCAAGGACAATGATCAAACAAAAAAAGCTCTCAATCTCCTATACAGTCATAGATCTAAGTCTTAAAATCAACAGCTCTTATACTTGTATCATCTTCACCATTACTATAATGGGGAACATCAAGCAATTATTTCTAGTCTTTGTCTTAGTTTTCTCGCACAATAGATGATGGATAGGGTTATGAGGGAGTTTGGCACATATTATAAGGAAAAGGCACAAAAAAATGAAGTCTAGCATTCTATTGCCTGTTCCTCCAGGAAACCGCTCGAGTCATGTCTTAGGACGCTCAAGTGGTCCTGGAAGCTTGTCTGTCCAATTGACAGATCAGTTCTTCAGCTCACCAATAGATTACTACAATTCCTCCTGTACACCTCCTATCAACTTAATGAGCCTCAAATGACATGCATAAGTGTATATATATAATCTAAATGCAACTAAAAAATGGATGCAAAAATAATGTAATTCTCAAATTTAACTTT